CCCCGCAGCCGCTCGGACACTGGCAGAAATGAGTCTGAGCTCCCATCATAGGCACCCGTGAGCTCCTTCAGGGATGAAATCTGGGAGGGAGGGAGGGAGGGAGGGAGGGAAGAGCTATCGGTCAGGGGGTCAGTGCAACCCAGCTGTGGCAGCACCCCATGGCCCCGCCAACCCATCCCGGGTTGCTCAGGTTTCCCACTGCCTCCCATGTCCCCACTCCTGACAGCCCCCAGCCCGACAGCCAGGCACTATGTACCTTGATGCCAAGCGCTTCCAGGCTACGTTCAATATTCTGCAATAAAAAGACATTAAAAACAAAGCGAGTGTTGGCTTGCTCCCACCGTGGGAGCTGTGGAAAGTCCTCTGTCCCCCAGGGCTGATGTCCCAGCCCAGCAGCTTGTGGGGGGGACTCACCACTGCGGTCCCAGGGTCTCCGCGTGCTCCAGGGTTGCCAGGCCGCCCCTAGGTTTGCAGGGAGAGAGGGAATGCAAAGATGTACAGAGGTGCGGTGGGTGAGGCGAGCAGTGCTGATGCTGCCCTCAGTAGGTTTCAGAGTTAACACTGCTAGTGCTGCCTGTGCAGGGGCTGTGGTTGCCACCACGCTGGGGTGCTCGCAGCTTATCAGGCTTGGTGCTTGGTACTCACCGGCTCCCCTCGCAGTCCAGGCTCCCCCGGGTCCCCCTGAAACACAGCAAAGGCATCAGGTGGGGCAGAGCCAGGCTGCCCAGCCCCAGCTCCTGTGCCAGGGTCCAGCCCTGCCAGCCTGGGGGCAGGGAGTCCCACCAAGGACTCATCCCCTCTGGCACGGGGTCCTCCAGACCTTTGCCTTGCGGGGCTTGCGGGCAGGAGCACACCTACCTTCAGTCCAGCCACCCCACGGAGGCCTGGCGAGCCCTGGCAGATGCAGAGGGGACACAATGGCACCCGGCACCCATGGACATGGGGCAGTGCCCCAAGGGAGCCATGGGCAGGAGTCTTGCCTGCCCCACGGCAGCCCAGACTCCAGGGTCCGGTGCTGGGTGGGCTTGAGGACTACGCACCTGGCCTGGGGGGCCGACCTGCCCCGGGATGCCAGGGAGCCCAGGGGGGCCGAGGGGGCCTGGCACACCTCTGTCCCCCTGCTCGCCCTTGGCACCACTGTGGCCCTGCCAAGAGAGCAGTGTCACCCCCAGGACCTGGGTGCCCAGGTCTGTAGCCGGTGGGGGCATGTACCCACCACCCCCCATCACCACGCTCCTCTGTGGAGAGGTACTCACATCTCTGCCAGGGGGTCCCGCGTCACCTTTGTCTCCCTAACCAGGAGGGAAAGGAGTTAGAGGGATGCTGCCCCAAAATGATGCTCCTGGACCCAGGCAGGGAGAAGCCACGCTGGTGTGTGGTGACTGTGCAGAGACTGCACAGGGACACCCGGGGCTCAGCTCCTTACCTTCCTCCCGTCCTCTCCCGGTGTCCCGTCTTCTCCCTGGGGACACAGGCTGCCAGTCAGCACCTGGCTCGACTGCCCAGCTACCCCTGGCACAGGCACCAGAGGATGGGGACAGGCACCGGGGGCACAGCTCAGAGCGCAGGGGCCCTTTGCCGCATGTCCCCCTTGCCTTTATGTTGGACTGGGATCACTGTCCCTCAGGACCCTTGAGTGAGCCCCAAAGCCAAGCCCTGCTCCCCCTACTCACATTCTTGCCACTGAGGCCAGGTTTGCCGTCATCACCGGGTTTGCCCTGGGAGGAAGCCGAGGCAGGGCGACACCCACCCGCTGGCTTGCCCCACC